CACACTTTAGTCTATTGAAAGTAAAGATCAGCAGATCCAACAATTGGAATCAGGTGTGGCTCCTGCTAGATGGAACAAAAACCTGAAGATTGGACAACCCTGCTTAAGACCAATCAGCATATAGGCATATTTGGTTGTTAAATATAAAACATTGACTATGTAGAAAGCTGATAGCGGAAAATGTACACCTCTGGGACAGTTTGCATGCCTGCTTATGCGCTAACAGAAGACAGACCCGATTTTCTCCCATTTTGTGCCCCTTGTTCACAGGTGAAAGCGTGGCCTGATGGATAATGATGTGCTTCCAAACAGCAAAGAATCAGTAACAATACAACTGGGAAGCTGAAAGGTTTCTAGGCGGCCTGCATGAAGCCTATGGCACACTGTATTGCCAACTAATTTTCAGGTAGGTCCTTCCTTCCTTTTGTTCCAAGTACCATAAAGTAGCACTTAAAGCTTCAATTTACACTGTGCATTGGCCGGGAATCGAACCGGTTAACTGCTTGGAAGGCAGCTATGCTCACCACTATACCACCAATGCCCACCACTATATCACCAATGCCATGATGGGAAATCCCATTCTGGTGAGCAAAAGTTTAAGAATGTGCATTTCTCATCAGCAGACCATAGGCAACAGCCAAAGAAATGAGCTTTCGTGGTTTCTGTAGTGTAGTGGTTATCACGTTTGCCTAACACGCAAAAGGTCCCTGGTTCGAGACCGGGCAGAACAGCTGCAAATTTAGAATTTTGCTTTAATAACTGACCGGTTGTCATCACTATAGGATCAGATCCTCTATGAACAGCCCAGGCGAGACCTTGAACTGACCAGAATTCCTGCTTTTGTAGCAAAGCAGATCAAATTTCTTACAAAATGAAAGGGAATCTCTGGTTTTCCACAGAATGTGGAAGCCTGTCTCTTTTGTTGCTCAGTAAGACTCTGAACTTGACTGGAAATTTTTCTGTAAGGTGTGGTCACCAAGTTCACCTATCAGCAAGAAGTCTCCGCTTCGAAAAAGGCTGGGAGGCGGTTTCCCTTCCATTGTGCTTTTGTAGCAAGGCAGATAACAGCTGCTTGCAAAATAACAGGGAGTCTCTGCTTTTCCACTGACTGTGGAAGCCTGACTCTTTCCTTGATCAAGAAGACAAGGGTAAGGATGCGTTTGACTCGAGGTTGCAACTTGTAATTCCCCACCTCCAAGCAGGAACATACTAGCAACGCACCCTCGACTTGAAATTGCCATTCGTGTCACAATGGGAAGTCTTCTTTCATCTACCAGTGCCTTCCCTGTTCATCAGTGATGTCAACATGACCGATTCAGAACTCACAAAGTGGCACTTACTTTAGTGCTGATTTGCTTTAGATCAGGGTTGTCAGTCTTATCCAGAATGAGCCAGTGTGGCTGAAGGTTTTCATACTAACCAAGCAGAAGCCACACTTTAGTCTATTGAAAGCCAAGATCAGCAGATCCAACAATTGGAATCAGGTGTGGCTCCTGCTAGATTGGAACGAAAACCTGAAGATTGGACAACCCTGCTTAAGACCAATCAGCATATAGGCATATTTGGTTGTTAAATATAAAACATTGACTATGTAGAAAGCTGATAGCGGAAAATGTACACCTCTCGTCACAGTTTGCATGCTGCGCGTCGCTAACAGAAGACAGACCCGATTTTCTCCCATTTTTGCCCCTTGTTCACGGTGAAACGTGGCCTGATGGATAATGATGTGCTTCCAAACAGCAAAGAATCAGTAACAATACAACTGGGAAGCTGAAAGGTTTCTAAGAGGCCTGCATTGAAGCCTATGGCACACTGTATTGCCAACTAATTTTCAGGTAGGTCCTTCCTTCCTTTTGTTCCACTAGTACCATAAAGTAGCACTTAAAGCTTCAATTTACACTGTGCATTGGCGGGAATCGAACCGGGTCAACTGCTTCGAAGGCAGCTATGCTCACCACTATACCACCAATGCCCACCACTATCTCACCAATGCCATGATGGGAAATCCCATTCTGGTGAATCCAAAAAGTTTAAGAATGTGCATTTCTCATCAGCAGACCATAGGAAATTTTTTTTTTTTTTTTTTTTTTTTTTTTTTTTTTTTTTTTTTTAAAAAAAAAAGTTTTTGGGTCAAGGCGGGGTTTTTTTGCATTTTTTTTTTTTTTTTTTTTTTTTTTTTTTTTTTTTAATAACTGACCGGTTGTCATCACTATAGGATCAGATCCTCTATGAACAGCCCGCGAGACCTTAGACTGACCAGAATTCCTGCTTTTGTAGCAAAGCAGATCAAATTTGTTACAAAATGAAAGGGAATCTCTGGTTTTCCACAGAACGTGGAAGCCTGTCTCTTTTGTTGCTCAGTAAGACTCTGAACTTGACTGGGAATTTTTCTGTAAAGTGTGGTCACCAAGTTCACCTATCAGCAAGAAGTCTCCGCTGGAAAAAGGCTGGGGGCGGTTTCCTCTTCCATTGTGCTTTTGTAGCAGAGGCAGATAACAGCTGCTTGCAAAATATCAGGGAGTCTCTGCTTTTCACACTGACTGTGCTTTGCTACAAAAGCGGAATTCTGGTTTAGAATAGCAAGGCAGTACTTGAAAACAGCTTCACTTGGAAGCCTGACTCTTTCCTTGATCAAGAAGACAAGGGTAAGGATGCGTTTGACTCGAGGTTGCAACTTGTAATTCCCCACCTCAAGCGAGGAACATACAACGAAAACGCACCCTCGACTTGAATGCCATTCGTCAACAATGGGAAGTCTTCTCATCTACCAGTGCCTTCCCTGTTCATCCAGTGGTGTCAACATGCCGATTCAGAACTCACAAAGTGGCACTTACCTTAGTGCTGATTTGCTTTAGATCAGGGTTGTCCAGTCTTATCCAGAATGAGCCAGTGTGGCTGAAGGTTTTCATACTAACCAAGCAGAAGCCACACTTTAGTCTATTGAAAGTCAAGATCAGCAGATCCAACAATTGGAATCAGGTGTGGCTCCTGCTAGGTTGGAACGAAAACCTGAAGATTGGACAACCCTGCTTAAGACCAATCAGCATATAGGCATATTTGGTTGTTAAATATAAAACATTGACTATGTAGAAAGCTGATAGCGGAAAATGTACACCCTCTCGTCACGGTTTGCATGCTAGCTTGTCGCTAACAGAAGACAGACCCGATTTTCTCCCATTTTTCCCCTTGTTCACAGGTGAAACGTGGCCTGATGGATAATGATGTGCTTCAAACAGCAAAGAATCAGTAACAATACAACTGGGAAGCTGAAAGGTTTCTAAGAGGCCTGCATTGAAGCCTATGGCACACTGTATTGCCAACTAATTTTCAGGTAGGTCCTTCCTTCCTTTTTGTTCCAAGTACCATAAGTAGCACTTAAAGCTTCAATTTACACTGTGCATTGGCCGGGAATCGAACCGCTTGGAAGGCAGCTATGCTCACCACTATACCACCAATGCCCACCACTATCTCACCAATGCCATGATGGGAAATCCCATTCTGGTGAATCCCAAAAGTTTAAGAATGTACATTTCTCATCAGCAGACCATAGGCAACAGCCAAGGAAATGAGCTTTCATGGTTTCTGTAGTGTAGTGGTTATCACGTTTGCCTCACACGCAAAAGGTCCCTGGTTCGAAACCGGGCAGAAACAAGCTGCAAATTTAGAATTTTGCTTTAATAACTGACCGGTTGTCATCACTATAGGATCAGATCCTCTATGAACAGCCAGCGAGGCAGAACTGACCAGAATTCCTGCTTTTGTAGCAAAGCAGATCAAATTTGCTTACAAAATGAAAGGGAATCTCTGGTTTTCCACAGAACGTGGAAGCCTGTCTCTTTTGTTGCTCAGTAAGACTCTGAACTTGACTGGAAATTTTTCTGTAAAGTGTGGTCACCAAGTTCACCTATCAGCAAGAGGTCTCCGCTCGAAAAAGGCTGGGAGCGGTTTCCCTTCCATTGTGCTTTTGTAGCAAGGCAGATAACAGCTGCTTGCAAAATAACAGGGAGTCTCTGCTTTTCCACTGACTGTGGAAGCCTGACTCTTTCCTTGATCAAGAAGACAAGGGTAAGGATGCGTTTGACTCGAGGTTGCAACTTGTAATTCCCCACCTCCAAGCAGGAACATACAACGCACCCTCGACTTGAAATTGCCATTCGTCAACAATGGGAAGTCTTCTCATCTACCAGTGCCTTCCCTGTTCATCGAGTGACGTCAACATGACGGTTCAGAACTCAGTGGTACTACTTACTTAGTGCTGATTTGCTTTAGATCACGGGTTGTCCAGTCTTATCCAGAATGAGCCAGTGTGGCTGAAGGTTTTCATACTAACCAAGCAGAAGCCACACTTTAGTCTATTGAAAGTAAAGATCAGCAGATCCAACAATTGGAATCAGGTGTGGCTCCTGCTAGATTGGAACAAAAACCTGAAGATTGGACAACCCTGCTTAAGACCAATCAGCATATAGGCATATTTGGTTGTTAAATATAAAACATTGACTATGTAGAAAGCTGATAGCGGAAAATGTACACCTCTCGTCACAGTTTGCATGCCTGCTTGTCGCTAACAGAAAACAGACCCGATTTTCTCCCATTTTTGCCCCTTGTTCACAGGTGAAACGTGGCCTGATGGATAATGATGTGCTTCAAACAGCAAAGAATCAGTAACAATACAACTGGGAAGCTGAAAGGTTTCTAAGAGGCCTGCATTGAAGCCTATGGCACACTGTATTGCCAACTAATTTTCAGGTAGGTCCTTCCTTCCTTTTGTTCCAAGTACCATAAAGTAGCACTTAAAGCTTCAATTTACACTGTGCATTGGCCGGGAATCGAACCCGGGTCAACTGCCGGAAAGGCAGCTATGCTCACCACTATACCACCAATGCCCACCACTATATCACCAATGCCATGATGGGAAATCCCATTCTGGTGAGCAAAAGTTTAAGAATGTACATTTCTCATCAGCAGACCATAGGCAACAGCCAAAGAAATGAGCTTTCGTGGTTTCTGTAGTGTAGTGGTTATCACGTTTGCCTAACCCATAAAGGTCCTGGTTTGAGACCGGGCAAGAACAAGCTACAAATTTAGAATTTTGCTTTAATAACTGACCGGTTGTCATCACTATAGGATCAGATCCTCTATGAACAGCCCGAAAGCGAGACCTTAGACTGACCAGAATTCCTGCTTTTGTAGCAAAGCAGATCAAATTGCTTACAAAATGAAAGGGAATCTCTGGTTTTCTCCACAGAAGTGTAAAAGCCTGTCTCTTTGTTGCTCAGTAAGACTCTGAACTTGACTGGAAATTTTTCTGTAAAGTGTGGTCACCAAGTTCACCTATCAGCAAGAAGTCTCCGCTCGAAAAAGGCTGGGAGGCGGTTTCCCTTCCATTGTGCTTTTGTAGCAAGGCAGATAACAGCTGCTTGCAAAATAACAGGGAGTCTCTGCTTTTCCACTGACTGTGGAAGCCTGACTCTTTCCTTGATCAAGAAGACAAGGGTAAGGATGCGTTTGACTCGAGGTTGCAACTTGTAATTCCCCACCTCCAAGCAGGAACATACAAGCGAACGCACCCTCGACTTGAAATTGCCATTCGTCAACAATGGGAAGTCTTCTCATCTACCAGTGCCTTCCCTGTTCATCAGTGATGTCAACATGACCGGTTCAGAACTCACAAAGTGGCACTTACCTTAGTGCTGATTTGCTTTAGATCAGGGTTGTCAGTATTATCCAGAATGAGCCAGTGTGGCTGAAGGTTTTCATACTAACCAAGCAGAAGCCACACTTTAGTCTATTGAAAGTCAAGATCAGCAGATCCAACAATTGGAATCAGGTGTGGCTCCTGCTAGATTGGAACAAAAAACCTGAAGATTGGACAACCCTGCTTAAGACCAATCAGCATATAGGCATATTTGGTTGTTAAATATAAAACATTGACTATGTAGAAAGCTGATAGCGGAAAATGTACACCTCCGTCACAGTTTGCATGCTTGCTTGTCGCTAACAGAAGACAGACCCGATTTTCTCCCATTTTTGCCCCTTGTTCACAGGTGAAACGTGGCCTGATGGATAATGATGTGCTTCAAACAGCAAAGAATCAGTAACAATACAACTGGGAAGCTGAAAGGTTTCTAAGAGGCCTGCATTGAAGCCTATGGCACACTGTATTGCCAACTAATTTTCAGGTAGGTCCTTCCTTCCCTTTTGTTCCAAGTACCATAAAGTAGCACTTAAAGCTTCAATTTACACTGTGCATTGACGGGAATCAAACCTGGTCAACTGCTTGGAAGCAGCTATGCTCACCACTATACCACCAATGCCCACCACTATATCACCAATGCCATGATGGGAAATCCCATTCTGGTGAATCCAAAGTTTAAGAATGTGCATTTCTCATCAGCAGACCATAGTTTTTTTTTTTTTTTTGTTTGTTTTTTTTTTTTTTCCTCGGTCCTTGGTGAAAGGGGGTTTTTTGCTTTAATAACTGACCGGTTGTCATCACTATAGGATCAGATCCTCTATGAACAGCCAGCGAGACTGAACTGACCAGAATTCCTGCTTTTGTAGCAAAGCAGATCAAATTTCTTACAAAATGAAAGGGAATCTCTGGTTTTCCACAGAACGTGGAAGCCTGTCTCTTTTGTTGCTCAGTAAGACTCTGAACTTGACTGGAAATTTTTTCTGTAAAGTGTGGTCACCAAGTTCACCTATCAGCAAAGAAGTCTTCGCTCGAAAAAGGCTGGGAGCGGTTTCCCTTTCCATTGTGCTTTTGTAGCAAGGCAGATAACAGCTGCTTGCAAAATATCAGAGTCTCTGCTTTTCCACTGACTGTGGAAGCCTGACTCTTCCGTTATCAAGAAGACAAGGGTAAGGATGCGTTTGACTCGAGGTTGCAACTTGTAATTCCCCACCTCAAAGCAGGAACATACAACGCGCACCCTCGACTTGAAATTGCCATTAGTCAACAATGGGAAGTCTTCTCATCTACCAGTGCCTTCCCTGTTCATCGGTGGCGGTCAACATGACCGGTTCAGAACTCAGAAAGTGGCACTTACCTTAGTGCTGATTTGCTTTAGATCACCGGGTTGTCAGTATTATCCAGAATGAGCCAGTGTGGCTGAAGGTTTTCATACTAACCAAGCAGAAGCCACACTTTAGTCTATTGAAAGTAAGATCAGCAGATCCAACAATTGGAATCAGGTGTGGCTCCTGCTAGATTGGAACAAAACCTGAAGATTGGACAACCCTGCTTAAGACCAATCAGCATATAGGCATATTTGGTTGTTAAATATAAAACATTGACTATGTAGAAAGCTGATAGCGGAAAATGTACACCTCTCGTCACCGTTTGCATGCGCTTGCTCGCTAACAGAAGACAGACCCGATTTTCTCCCATTTTTGCCCCTTGTTCACAGGTGAAAGCGTGGCCTGATGGATAATGATGTGCTTCCAAACAGCAAAGAATCAGTAACAATACAACTGGGAAGCTGAAAGGTTTCTAAACTGCCGAAGCCTGATGGCACACTGTATTGCCAACTAATTTTCAGGTAGGTCCTTCCTTCCCTTTTGTTCCAAGTACCATAAAGTAGCACTTAAAGCTTCAATTTACACTGTGCATTGGCCGGGAATCGAACCCGGGTCAACTGCTTGGAAGGCAGCTATGCTCACCACTATACCACCAATGCCCACCACTATCTCACCAATGCCATGATGGGAAATCCCATTCTGGTGAATCCCAAAAGTTTAAGAATGTGCATTTCTCATCAGCAGACCATAGGCAACAGCCAAAGAAATGAGCTTTCGTGGTTTCTGTAGTGTAGTGGTTATCACGTTTGCCTAACACGCAAAAGGTCCCTGGTTCGAGACCGGGCAGAAACAAGCTGCAAATTTAGAATTTTGCTTTAATAACTGACCGGTTGTCATCACTATAGGATCAGATCCTCTATGAACAGCCCGAAAGCGAGACCTTGAACTGACCAGAATTCCTGCTTTTGTAGCAAAGCAGATCAAATTTGCTTACAAAATGAAATGGAATCTCTGGTTTTCCACACGAAACGTTGAAGCCTGTCTCTTTTGTTGCTCAGTAAGACTCTGGACTTGACTGGAAATTTTTCTGTAAAGTGCTGGTCACCAAGTTCACCTATCAGCAAGAAGTATCCGATCGAAAAAGGCTGGGGGGCGGTTTCCCTTCCATTGTGCTTTTGTAGGGAAAAAAAAAAAATGTAAAAAAAAAAAAGATTTTATTATAAAAAAAGAAAAGAAAGAAAAAGAGAAAAAAAAAACTGCTTGAAAATAAAAAGGGGGTCTTTTTTTTTCACTTACTGTGGAAGCCTACTCTTTCCTTGATCAAGAAGACAAGGGTAAGGATACGTTTGACTCGAGGTTGCAACTTGTAATTCCCCACCTCAAGCCAGGAACATACAACAACGCACCCTCGACTTGAAATTGCCATTCGTCAACAATGGGAAGTCTTCTCATCTAATGTAAAAAAAAAAATATTTTGTGTTTTAAAAAAGAGGGTGTGGTTTAAAAAAAAATTAATTTATAAAAACAAAATAGAATAAAATTGAATCACAGTGTTGCTCCTGCTAGATTGGAACAAAAACCTGAAGATTGGACAACCCTGCTTAAGACCAATCAGCATATAGGCATATTTGGTTGTTAAATATAAAACATTTACTATGTAGAAAGCTGATAGCGGAAAATGTACACCTCTCGTCACAGTTTGCATGCCTGCTTGTCGCTAACAGAAGACAGACCTGATTTTTTCCCATTTTTCCTTTGTTCACAGGTGAAACGTGGCCTGATGGATAATGATGTGCTTCAAACAGCAAAGAATCAGTAACAATACAACTGGGAAGCTGAAAGGTTTCTAAGAGGCCTGCATTGAAGCCTATGGCACACTGTATTGCCAACTAATTTTCAGGTAGGTCCTTCCTTCCTTTTGTTCCAAGTACCATAAAGTAGCACTTAAAGCTTCAATTTACACTGTGCATTGGCCGGGAATCGAACCGGGTCAACTGCTTGGAAGGAACGTATACTGCACCACTATACCAACAATGCCCACCACTATCTCACCAATGCCATGATGGGAAATCCCATTCTGGTGAATCCCAAAAGTTTAAGAATGTGCATTTCTCATCAGCAGACCATAGGCAACAGCCAAAGAAATGAGCTTTCGTGGTTTCTGTAGTGTAGTGGTTATCACGTTTGCCTAACCGCAAAAGGTCCCTGGTTCGAGACCGGGCAGAAACAAGCTGTAAATTTAGAATTTTGGTTTAATTAACTGACCGGTTGTCATCACTATAGGATCAGATCCTCTATGAACAGCCAAAAAGCGAGACCTTGCAATTCAATTCAATTCAATTCAATTTTATTTGTATAGCGCTTTTACAATGGTCATTGTCTCAAAGCAGCTTTACAGAAATAAAAACAGGTATGAACGTCAGAAACATCTAAAGAGACAAACAGGGAACAGATAAACAGAGACAAACAGGTAGAAAACAAATGGAATTTATCCCAACTGAGCAAGCCACTGAGTGGCGGCGGTGGCAAGGAAAAACTCCCTAAGATGTTTTTTAGGAAGAAACCGTGAGAGGAACCCGACTCAGAGGGAAACCCATCCTCATCTGGGTAACACAGATTGTGAATGTAACACAGATAATGTGAAAATGAGAAGTATGTATGGCCTTAGGAGCAGCCTAGTCCCAGCAGAAGATTTGGGCTCATCCAGAGGCAGAGGGGATCTGGATCTCCAATATCTCCATAGAATTCGTGTGGGGCTCGGCAAAAGAAGAGAGGGAGAGAAAAGCGATTAGGATTGTGAGGTAGTGCGATATAATCTAGTCAGGGTAAGCTTGAGTAAACAAATATGTTTTAAGCCTCGATTTAAACACTGAGACTGTGTCTGAGTCCCGAACACTAATAGGAAGACTGTTCCATAACTGTGGGGCTCTATAAGCGAGGGCTCTTCCCCCTGCTGTAGCTTCACTATATTCTAGGTAATATCAAATAGCCTGCATCTTTTGATCTGAGTAGGCGTGGCGGATCATATAAAACCAGAAGGTCGCTTAGATATTGTGGTGCGAGACCGTGTAGTGCTTTATAGGTTAATAAAAGTATTTTAAACTTAATGCGAAATTGCACGGGAGCCAATGCAGTGTGGATAAGATCGGGGTGATATGGTCGTATCTTCTAGTTCTAGTAAGGACTCTAGCAGCTGCATTCTGGACTAACTGGGTTTATTTATAATCCTACTGGAACATCCAGACAGTAAGGCATTACAGTAATCTAATCTAGGGTGACGAATGCATGAACCAGTATTTCTGCATCATGTAGTGACAATATGTTTCTTATCTTAGAAATATTTCTGAGATGAAAAAGCGCTATCCTAGTAATATTATCTACATGAGCATCAAATGATAGACTGGAGTCAATAATCACTCCGAGGTCTTTAACTGCTGTACGATGAAACAGAAAGACCATCCAGAGTTACTGTGTAGTCAGGAAGATTACTTCTAGCTACACGTGGGCCTAATAAAAAGTATTTCTGTTTTATCAGAATTAAGTAAAAGGAAGTTAGTTAACATCCATCGTCTAATGTCCTTTACACAATCCTCAACTTTACTAAGCTTCTGTCTGTCCTCTGGCTTCGCTGAAACATACAGCTGTGTATCATCAGCATAACAGTGGAAGCTAATTCCATGTTACGAATAATTTGTCCTAGGGGTAACATATATAAGGTAAAAAGCAGTGGGCCTAAAACAGAACCCTGGGGAACTCAAAAAGTAACCTCAGTGCGCATGGAGAAATCACCATTTATATCTACGAATTGATAACGATCGGTCAGATAAGACCTGAGCCAGGAGAGGACTGTTCCTTAATGCCAACAACATTTTCTAATCTATCAAGGAGAATAGTGTGATCTATGGTATCGAAAGCTGCACTAAGGTCTAGTAACACAAGCAGCGAGACACAACCCTGATCAGAGGTCAGAAGAAGGTCATTTACTACTTTAACTAGTGCTGTCTCTGTGCGGCAGTGAGGTCTAAATCCTGACTGATATATATTTCATGAATGTTGTTCCTTTCTAAGTATGAGCATAACTGTTTTGCTACTACCTTTTCTAGAATCTTTGAGATGAAGGGAGATTCGATATTGGTCTATAATTGGATAATTGAGACGGGTCAAGGTCAGGTTTTTTATCAATGGTTTAATAACTGCTAATTTTAGAGATTTAGGGACATAGCCAGTGGTTGGGGAGGAATTTACTATATTTAAAAGTGACTTAATTATTCCTGGACAAATCTGTTTAAACAAACATGTGGGTATAGGATCTAGTATGCAGGTTGATGAATTAGCTGATGAGATTAGTGTAGCTAGGTCGGTCTCTATAAGCGGAGCAAACACTCTAAACATTGATCCGGTATTGCCACATTGTCATCTAATGGGTTTGTTATATTACTGACCGGTTGTAATTTAATGGCCTGTATTTCATCTCTAATATTTTCAATTTTATAAATGAAAAATTTCATAAAATCGTCACTGCTATGAAATGATTGAGTTTTTCCTCTGAAGTGGTTTTATTCCTAGTTAGTTGTGCTACCGTGTTGAAAAGGAATCTGGAATTGTTTTGGTTGTCTCCTATTAAGGTGGAGAAGTAAGATCTTTTTAGCATCGACAAGAGATTTCCTATATTGCAGTAGGCTCTCCTTCCATGCTGTCTGAAATATAACCAGCTTGGTTTGGCGCCATTTACGTTCTAATTGTCTAGATTTCTGTTTTAAGGATCGCGTTAGATCATTATACCAGGGTGCTAATTTTTTTGTCTAATTATTTTCCTTTTGAGTGGAGCCACTCTATCTAGTGTGCAACGGAGGTGTTGACTCAAACTTTCAGTTGCCTGGTCGAGATCTACTGGATCGGCGCTGATCCAAAACTAACTGATGTCTCTGGTAGGTTATTTATGAAGCTCAGTGCAGTAGCTGATGTGAATGTGCGTTTTACGCGGTAGCGACGGGTGGAGATATTATAATCCATACGGATTATGAATGAGATAAGATGGTGGTCTGAGATAACTTCCAGACTGTGGAATAATTTCAATATTTTCTATCGTAGTCCGTATGTTAGTATGAGGTCAAAAGTGTGACCACCACTATGAGTAGGCCCGATCACGTTCTGATTAATCCCTACTGAATCTAAGATGGACACGACCGCTGTTCTCAGAGGGTCCTCCAGGTTATCAAAATGAACATTAAATACTCCGACGATTAATGCTTTTGTTACAGACACAACCAGGTTTGATACAAAGTCTGCAAATTCACTAAGAAATTCAGTATAAGGCCCTGGGGGTCTGTAAAAATAATAATTAGAGGAATTGACTTATTTTTTTGGCTATGGGTTACACTGGTATAAAGAATTTCAAAGGAATTAAACTTATCAATATATTTTTGTGTGACTGACTAGATTTTCACTATGGATAAGACCAATACCTCCACCTCTACCAGTTGAGCGAGGCTGATGTACATAACTGTATCCAGGAGGACTGGCTTCATTTAATACTAGTACTCATTTGGTTTAACTCAAGTTTCCGTTAAACACATTAAATTACATTCCTGGTCAGTAATGATGTCGTTGACAATAAGAGCCTTGGACATAAGAGATCTAACGTTTAATAGTCCTAGCTTCAGATCAAAATGCTGGCTGTGCATTCAATATGATTTAATTTTATGTTAATTAGGTTACAAGGTTGCGATTTCCTATTTATGTGTATAGCTCGGGAACAGACACAGTCTCAATAGTATTTATTACTGGTGATTGACTATTAAATGAACATTGATTAAACTGTCTGTTGTTGACGAAGATGTACTACGGTAAAGAGTCACTTGGAGTGAAGCGCCTTGGAGATGTTCTCGGACAGCAGTTCCGCTCCAACGCTGCTGGGGTGCAAGGCCATCAGGACGAAACAGCCTAAGGCGTCCCAAAACAGATTCCAGTTATTAACAAACACTAGATTCTGCTCATTACACCAAGAAACTAACCATTCATTTAAAGCGAGAAGTCTACTGAACTTTTCTGCTCCACGTCTGAATGTGGGAAGAGGTCCAGAGACGATGATCCTCGCTGTGGGTGATCTGCCTCCCACCGTCTCGATCAGGCTGGTGAAGTCCCTCTTCAGAACCTCCGTCTGCCGTAGCCTGGTGTCGTTCGTCGGCGTGCAGCACAACCGCTCCAATGCGCTCCGTCTTCAGGATCCTGGATACCTGCACAGCGAATCAAACTGAACTGACTTTTTTAAATAATTTATTAAATGGGAAATGGGTTTGTTTTATATCAATATACTTAAAAAAAAAAGGGTAAGTAAAAATAGGCAAGGGGGCTGAAAGGTTTCTAAGGGGCTACAGTGAAACCTAAAAGCTGCTGTATTACCAACTAATTTTCAAGTAGGTCCTTCCTTCCTAATTATTCCAAATACAATAAAAATAACACTTATAGCTTTAATTTAAACTATACATTGGCCAAGAATAAGAAGCAGAAAAACTGCTTAAAAGAAAACAAAAAACACCACTAAACAACAAATACCCACCACTATCACAAAAATACCATGATGGAAAAAAAATTAAAATGAACAAAAGTTAAAAAAAATACATTTCAAAAACAAAAAAAAAGCGGGAAAGAAATGGGCTTGTGTTTTCTATAGTGTAGTATTTATCACATAATACCTCCTACTTAAAAGGTCCTTAATTAAAAAAACGGACAAAAAAAAGCTAAAAATTTAAAAATTTTTTCTTTAATAAAAACTAACCAGTTGTCATACTATAGAATCAGATCACTCTATGAAGAAAGAGAGAGACCTTGAACTGACCAGAATTCCTGCTTTTGTAGCAAACAAATATTTATTTTTTCTTTTTTTTTTTTTAAAAAAAATATTAATTTTTTTTTTAGTTTTTATTTCTTTTTCTTTTTTTTTTCTTTTTATTTTTAATTTTTCCTTCCTTCCTTCTTTTTTTTCATAATAGTACTTATTTTTCTTTTATTTTTTTTTTTTTTTTTTTTTTTTTCTTCTTCTCTTTTGTTCCCCCACCACCCCCACTTCTTACTTTATTTCATTCTTGTTTTTAAATATTTTTTCTTCCCTCTACAATAACTTTTTTGTTTTTTGTTTTGTAGTTGTTTTTTCTGCTTTTCCTTTACGTACAAATTTTTTTTTTATTATTTCTTTTAATATCTTACCTCATCAATCTGCTTTTCAGCAGATCAAATTTTACAAAAAATGAAATGGGAATCTCTGGTTTTCCACAGAACGTGGAAGCCTGTCTCTTTTGTTGCTCAGTAAGACTCTGGACTTGACTGGAAATTTTTCTGTAAAGTACTGGTCACCAAGTTCACCTATGAGCAAGAGGTATCCGATCGAAAAAGGCTGGGAGCGGTTTCCCTTCCATTGTGCTTTTGTCTCTTTCCTTGATCAAGAAGACAAGGGTAAGGATGCGTTTGACTCGAGGTTGCAACTTGTAATTCCCCACCTCCAAGCAGGAACATACAACGAAAACGCACCCTCGACTTGAAATTGCCATTCGTCAACAATGGGAAGTCTTCTCATCTACCAGTGCCTTCCCTGTTCATCGAGTGACGTTAACATGACCGGTTCAGAACTCAGAAAGTGGCACTTACCTTAGTGCTGATTTGCTTTAGATCACGGGTTTCCAGTATTATCCAGAATGAGCCAGTGTGGCTGAAGGTTTTCATACTAACCAAGCAGAAGCCACACTTTAGTCTGTTGAAGCTTATGGCACACTGTATTGCCAACTAATTTTCAGGTAGGTCCTTCCTTCCTTTTGTTCCAAGTACCATAAAGTAGCACTTAAAGCTTCAATTTACACTGTGCATTGGCCGGGAATCAAACCCTGGTCAACTGCTAGGAAGGCAGCTATGCTCACCACTATATCACCAATGCCCACCACTATATAGCCAATGCCATGATGGGAAATCCGATTCTGGTGAGCAAAAGTTTAAGAATGTGCATTTCTCATCAGCAGACCATAGGCAACAGCCAAGGAAATCAGCTTTCATGGTTTCTGTAGTATAGTGGTTATCACGTTTGCCTCACACGCAAAAGGTCCCTGGTTCGAAACCGGGCAGAAACAAGCTGCAAATTCAGAATTTTGCTTTAATAACTGACCGGTTGTCATCACTATAGGATCAGATCCTCTATGAACAGCCCGAAAGCGAGACCTTGAACTGACCAGAATTCCTGCTTTTGTAGCAAAGCAGATCAAATTTGCTTACAAAATGAAAGGGAATCTCTGGTTTTCCACAAACGTGGAAGCCTGTCTCTTTTGTTGCTCAGTAAGACTCTGAACTTGACTGGAAATTTTTCTGTAAAGTGTGGTCACCAAGTTCACCTATCAGCAAGAAGTCTCCGTTCGAAAAAGGCTGGGAGCGGTTTCCCTTCATTGTGCTTTTGTAGCAAGGCAGATAACAGCTGCTTGCAAAATAACAGGGGTCTCTGCTTTTCCACTGACTGTGGAAGCCTGACTCTTTCCTTGATCAAGAAGACAAGGAGTAAGATGCGTTTGACTCGAGGTTGCAACTTGCTTTTCCCCCGCTTAAGACAAACAGCATACAGCGCACCTCACTTGATTGTTAAATTGCATCATTCGTCACAATGTAGGAAGTGCTTCTCATCTACCAGTGCCTTCCTGTTGCCACGTGATGTCAACATGACCGATTCAGAACTCACAAAGTGGCACTTACCTTAGTGCTGATTTGCCTTAGATCAGGTGTGTCAGTCTTATCCAGAATGAGCCAGTGTGGCGGAAGGTTTTCATATAACCAAGCAGAAGCCACACTTTAGTCTATTGAAAGCCAAGATCAGCAGATCCAACAATTGGAATCAGGTGTGGCTCCTGCTAGATTGGAACGAAAACCTGAAGATTGGACAACCCTGCTTAAGACCAATCAGCATATAGGCATATTTGGTTGTTAAATATAAAACATTGACTATTTAGAAAGCTGATAGCGGAAAATGTACACCTCTCGTCACAGTTTGCATGCTAGCTTGTCGCTAACAGAAGACAGACCCGATTTTCTCCCATTTTTGCCCATTGTTCACAGGTGAAACGTGGCCTGATGGATAATGATGTGCTTCCAAACAGCAAAGAATCAGTAACAATACAACTGGGAAGCTGAAAGGTTTCTAAGAGGCCTGCATTGAAGCCTATGGCACACTGTATTGCCAACTAATTTTCAGGTAGGTCCTTCCTTCCTTTTGTTCCAAGTACCATAAAGTAGCACTTAAAGCTTCAATTTACACTGTGCATTGGCCGGGAATCGAACCCGGGTCAACTGCTTGGAAGGCAGCTATGCTCACCACTATACCACCAATGCCCACCACTATCTCACCAATGCCATGATGGGAAATCCCATTCTGGTGAATCCCAAAAGTTTAAGAATGTGCATTTCTCATCAGCAGACCATAGGCAACAGCCAAAGAAATGAGCTTTCATGGTTTCTGTAGTGTAGTGGTTATCACGTTTGCCTAACACGCAAAAGGTCCCTGGTTCGAGACCGGGCAGAAACAAGCTGCAAATTTAGAATTTTGCTTTAATAACTGACCGGTTGTCATCACTATAGGATCAGATCCTCTATGAACAGCCCGAAAGCGAGACCTTGAACTGACCAGAATTCCTGCTTTTGTAGCAAAGCAGATCAAATTTGCTTACAAAATGAAATGGGAATCTCTGGTTTTCCACAGAACGTGGAAGCCTGTCTCTTTTGTTGCTCAGTAAGACTCTGGACTTGACTGGAAATTTTTCTGTAAAGTACTGGTCACCAAGTTCACCTATCAGCAAGAGGTATCTGATCGAAAAAGGCTGGGAGCGGTTTCTTCCATTGTACTTTTTGTAGAAGCAATAACAGTGCTTATAAATTGACTGTGAGTGTTTTCTATGGCACACTGTATTGCACCAATTTCAGGTAGGTCCTTCCTTCCTTTTGTTCCAAGTACCATAAAGTAGCACTTAAAGCTTCAATTTACACTGTGCATTGGCCGGGAATCAAACCCTGGTCAACTGCTTGGAAGGTAGCTATGCTCACCACTATATCACCAATGCCCACCACTATATAGCCAATGCCATGATGGGAAATCCGATTCTGGTGAGCAAAAGTTTAAGAATGTGCATTTCTCATCAGCAGACCATAGGCAACAGCCAAGGAAATGACTTTTATGGTTTGTTATGTTTATCACGTTTGCCTCACACAAAGGTCCCTGGTCAAACCGGGCAGAACAATCATTTAGAATTTTGCTTTAATAACTGACCGGTTGTCATCACTATAGGATCAGATCCTCTATGAACAGCCAGCGAGACCTTGAACGACCAGAATTCCTGCTTTGTAGCAAAGCAGATCAAATTTGCTTACAAAAGTGAAAGGGAATCTCTGGTTTTCCACAGAACGGAGCCTGTCTCTTTGTTGCTCAGCAAGACTCTGAACTTGACTGGAAATTTTCTGTAAAGTGTGGTCACCAAGTTCACCCTATCAGCAAGAAGTCTCCCTCTCGAAAAGGCGCTGGGGAGCGGTTTCCCTTCCATTGTGCTTTTGTAGCAAGGCAGATAACAGCTGCTTGCAAAATAACAGGAGTCTCTGCTTTTCCACTGACTGTGGAAGCCTGACTCTTTTCCTTGATCAAGAAGACAAGGGTAAGGATGCGCGTTTTGACTCGGAGGTTGCAACTTGTAATTTCCCCACCTCCAAGCAGGAACATACAACGAAACGCACCCTCGACTTGAAATTGCCATTCGTCAACAATGGGAAGTCTTCTCATCTACCAGTGCCTTCCCTATTCATCGAAAGTGATGTCAACATGACCGGTTCAGGAACTCAGAAAGTGGCACTTACCTTAGTGCTGATTTGCTTTAGATCACGGGTTTCCAGTATTATCCAGAATGAGCCAGTGTGGCTGAAGGTTTTCATACTAACCAAGCAGAAGCCACACTTTAGTCTATTGAAAGCCAAGATCAGCAGATCCAACAATTGGAATCAGGTGTGGCTCCTGCTAGATTGGAACAAAAACCTGAAGATTGGACAACCCTGCTTAAGACCAATCAGCATATAGGCATATTTGGTTGTTAAATATAAAACATTGACTATGTAGAAAGCTGATAGCGGAAAATGTACACCTCTCGTGACAGTTTGCATGCCTGCTTGTCGCTAACAGAAGACAGACCCGATTTTCTCCCATTTTTGCCCCTTGTTCACAGGTGAAACGTGGCCTGATGGATAATGATGTGCTTCCAAACAGCAAAGAATCAGTAACAATACAACTGGGAAGCTGAAAGGTTTCTAAGAGGCCTGCATTGAAGCCTATGGCACACTGTATTGCCAACTAATTTTCAAGTAGGTCCTTCCTTCCTTTTGTTCCAAGTACCATAAAGTAGCACTTATAGCTTCAATTTACACTGTGCATTGGCCGGGAATCGAACCCAGGTCAACTGCTTGGAAGGCAGCTATGCTCACCACTATACCACCAATGCCCACCACTATCACACCAATGCCATGATGGGAAATCCCATTCTGGTGACCAAAAGTTTAAGAATGTGAATTTCTTATCAGCAGACCATAGGCAACAGCCAAAGAAATGAGCTTTTGTGGTTTCTGTAGTGTAGTGTTTATCGCTACGCCTCACATACAAAAGGTCCCTAGTTCGAAACCGGGAAGAAAACAAGCTGCAAATTTAGAATTTTGCTTTAATAACTGACCGGTTGTCATCACTATAGGATCAGATCCTCTATGAACAGCCCAAAAGCGAGACCTTGAACTGACCAGAATTCCTGCTTTTGTAGCAAAGCAGATCAAATTTGCTTACAAAAATGAAATGGGAATCTCTGGTTTTCCACAGAACGTGGAAGCCTGTCTCTTTGTTTGCTCAGTATAGACTCTGGACTTGACTGGAAATTTTTCTGTAAAGTACTGGTCACCAAGTTCACCTATCAGCAAGAGGTATCCCAATGGAAAAAGGCTGGGGACGGTTTCCCTTCCATTGTGCTTTTGTAAGGCAGATAACAGCTGCTTGCAAAATAACAGGAGTCTCCCCCCGGCTGTGGAAGCCCTCTTTCCTTGATCAAGAAGACAAGGGTAAGGATACGTTTGACTCGAGGTTGCAACTTGTAATTCCCCCCACCTCCAAGCAGGAACATACACGCAAAAGGGCACCCTCGACTTGAAATTGCCATTCGTCAACAATGGGGAAGTCTTCTCTCATCTACCAGTGCCTTCCCTGTTCATCGAGTGACGTCCAACATGACCGGTTCAGAACTCAGAAAGTGGCACTTACCTTAGTGCTGATTTTCCTTTAGATCACGGGTTTCCAGTATTATCAGAATGAGCCAGTGTGGCTGAAGGTTTTCTTACTAACCAAGCAGAAGCCACACTTTGGTCTGTTGAAAGTAAAGATCAGCAGATCCAACAATTGGAATCAGGTGTGGCTCCTGCTAGATTGGAACAAAAACCTGAAGATTGGACAACCCTGCTTAAGACCAATCAGCATATAGGCATATTTGGTTGTTAAATATAAAACATTGACTATGTAGAAAGCTGATAGCGGAAAATGTACACCTCTCGTCACAGTTTGCATGCCTGCTTGTCGGCTCTAACAGAAGACAGACCCCGATTTTTCTCCCATTTTTTCCCCTTGTTCACAGGTGAAACGTGCCTGATGGATAATGATGTGCTTCAAACAGCAAAGAATCAGTAACAATACAACTGGGAAGCTGAAAGGGTTCTAAGAGGCCTGCATTGAAGCTTATGGCACACTGTATTGCCAACTAATTTTCAGGTAGGTCCTTCCTTCCTTTTTGTTCCAAGTACCATAAAGTAGCACTTAAAGCTTCAATTTACACTGTGCATTGGCCGGAATCGAACCCGGTCAACTGCTTGGAAGGCAGCTATGCTCACCACTATATCACCAATGCCAACCACTATATCACCAATGCCATGATGGAAAATCCCATTCTGGTGAATCCCAAAAGTTTAAGAATGTGCATTTATCATCAGCAACCATAGGCAACAGCCAAGAAATGAGCTTTTCATGGTTTCTGTAGTGTAGTGGTTATCACGTTTGCCTCACACGCAAAGGTCCCTGGTTCGAAACCGGGCAGAAACAAGCTGCAAATTTAGAATTTTGCTTTAATAACTGACCGGTTGTCATCACTATAGGATCAGATCCTCTATGAACAGCCCGAAAGCGAGACCGAACGGACCAGAATTCTGCTTTTTGTAGCAAAGCAGAGATCAAAATCAGCAATCAAAGAGGTGGTCCTGCTAGATTGGAAAAAACCAAGATTGGACAACCTGCTTAGACAATCAGATAGGTATTTTTGTTAAATATAAAACATTGACTATGCATAGCGGAAATGTACCCCTCGTCAGTTTGCATGCTGCTTGTAGCTAACAGAAGACAGACCGATTTTCTCCCATTTTGCCCTTGTTCTGGGTGAAACGTGGCCTGATGGATAATGTGTGCTTCCAAACAGCAAGAATCAGTAACAATAAACTGGAAGCTGAAAGGTTTCTAAGAGGCCTGCATGGAAAGCCTATGGCACACTGTATGCCAACTAATTTTCAAGTGGGTCTTCCTTCCTTTTGTTCCAAGTACCATAAAGTAGCACTTAAAGCTTCAATTTACACTGTGCATTGCGGGAATCGAACCCAGGTCAACTGCTTGGAAGGCAGCTATGCTCACCACTACTTTACCACCAATGCCCACCACCCTATCTCACCAATGCCATGATGGGATCATTCTGGTGGATCCCAAAAAAGTTTAAGAATGTGCATTTCTCATCAGACCATAGGCAACAGCCAAAGAAATGAGCTTTTGGTTTGTAGTGTAGGTTATCATGCTTTCTCAGCATTTAAAGGGTCTTTGGTTTGAAACTCGGCAGAAACAAGCTGCAAATTTAGAATTTGCTTATTTATAACTGACCGGTTGTCATCACTGGATCGATCTCTATGAACAGCCAAGCGAGACCTTGAACTGACCAGAATTCCTGCTTTTGTAGCAAAGCAGATCAAATTTACTTACAAAATGAAAGGGAATCTCTGGTTTTCCACAGAACGTGGAAGCCTGTCTCTTTTTGTCGCTCAGTAAGACTCTGGACTTGACTGGGAAAATTTTTTCTGTAAAGTGTGGTCACCAAGTTCACCTATCAGCAAGAAGTCTCCATCGAAAAAGGCTGGGAGCGGGTTTCCCATTCCATGCTTTTTGTAGCAAGGCAGATAACAGCTGCTTGCAAAAATAACAGGGAGTCCCTGCTTTTCCACTGACTGTGGAAGCCTGACTCTTTCCCTTGATCAAGAAGACAACAAAAGGGTAGGGATGTGCTTTGTTTGACCGAGGTTGCAACTTGTAATTCCCACCTCCAAGCAGGAACATACAACGAAAACGCACCCTCGACTTGAAATTGCCATTCGTCAACAATGGGAAGTCTTCTCATCTACCAGTGCCTTCCCTTTCATCGGTAGGCGATCAACGACCGGTTCAGAACTCAGAAAGTGGCACTTACCTTAGTGCTGATTGCTTTAGATCACGGGGTTGTCAGTATTATCCAGAATGAGCCAAGTGTGGCTGAAGGTTTCATACTAACCAAGCAGAAGCCACACTTTAGTCTATTGATAGTAAAGATCAGCAGATCAACAATTGGAATCAGGTGTGGCTCCTGCTAGATTGGAACAAAAACCTGAAGATTGGACAACCCTGCTTAAGACCAATCAGCATATAGGCATATTTGGTTGTTAAATATAAAACATTGACTATGTAGAAAGCTGATAGCCGGAAAATGTACACCTCTCGTTACAGTTTGCATGCCTGTTGCCGCTAACAGAAGACAGACCCGATTTTTCTCCCATTTTTTTGCCCTTTTCTGTTCACAGGTGAAACTGGCCCTGATGGATAATGATGTGCTTCCAAACAGCAAAGAATCAGTAACAATACAACTGGGAAGCTGAAAGGTTTCTAAGAGGCCTGCATGAAGCCTATGGCACACTGTTACTCTAACTAATTTTCAGAGTAATGGTCCTTCTTCCTTTTGTTCCAAGTACCATAAAGTAGCACCTAAAGCTTCAATTTACACTGTGCATTGGCGGGGAATCGAACCGGTCAACTGCTTGAAGGCAGCTATGCTCACCACTATACCACCAATGCCCACCACTATCTCACCAATGCCATGATGGGAAATCCCATTCCTGAGTGAATCCCAAAAGTTTAAGAATGTGCATTTCTCATCAGCAGACCATAGGCAACAGCCAAAGAAATGAGCTTTACCGTGGTTTTGTAGTGTAGTGGTTATCACGTTTGCCTCACTGTAAGGTCCCTGGTTCGAAACCGGGCAGAAACAAGCTGCAAATTTAGAATTTTGCTTTAATAACTGACCCGGTTGTCATCACTATAGGATCAGATCCTCATAGACAGCCCAGCCCGAAGACCTTGAACTGACCAGAATTCCCCTGCTTTTTGTAGCAAAGCAGATCAAATTTGCTTACAAAATGAATGGGAATCTCTGGTTTTCCTGAAACGTGGAAGCCCTTTCTCTTTGTTGCCTCAATAAGACTCTTGAACTTGACTGGAAATTTTTCTGTAAAGTGTGGTCACCAAGTTCACCTATCAGCAAGAGGTAACTCGCGCTAAAAAGGCTGGGGACGGTTTCCCTTCATTGTGCTTTTGGCAAGGCGATAACAGCTGCAAAATAACGGAGTCTGCTTTCCACTGACTGTGGAAGCCTGACTCTTCCTTGATCAAGAAGACAAGGGATAGGATACGTTTATTTCGAGGTTGCAACTTGTAATTCCCCACCTCCAAGCAGGAACATACAGCAAACGCTACCCTCGACTTGAAATTGCCATTCGTCAACAATGGGGCGGGAAGTCTTCTCATCTACCAGTGCCTTCCCCTGTTCATCAGTGAGCGATCAACATGACGTTCAGAACTCAGAAATTGGCACTTACCTTAGTGCTTGATTTGCTTTAGATCACGAGTTTCCAGTATTATCCAGAATGAGCCAGTGTGGCTGAAGGTTTTCATACTAACCAAGCAGAAGCCACACTTTAGTCTATTGTAAGTAAAGATCAGCAGATCCAACAATTGGAATCAGGTGTGGCTCCTGCTAGATTGAACAAAAAACCTGAAGATTGACAACAAACCTGCCTTAAGACCAATCAGCATATAGGCATATTTGGTTGTTAAATATAAAACATTGACTATGTAGAAAGCTGATAGCGGAAAATGTACACCTCTCGTCACAGTTTGCATGCCTGCTTGTCGCTAACAGAAGACAGACCCGATTTTCTCCCATTTTGCCCCTTGTTCACAGGTGAAACGGCCTGATGGATAATGATGTAGCTTCAAACAGCAAAGAATCCGTAACAATACAACTGGGAAGCTGAAAGGTTTCTAAGAGGCCTGCAGTGAAGCCTATGGCACACTGTATTGCCAACTATTTTTCAAGTAGGTCCTTCCTTCCTTTTGTTGCCAAGTACCATAAAGTAGCACTTAAAGCTTCAATTTACTACTGCCATTGGCCGGGGAATCGAACCAGGTCAACTGCTTGGAAGGCAGCTATGCTCACCACATATCCACCAATGCCCACCACTATACCAATAATTAATGGTCCATGATGGGAAATCCCATTCTGGTGAGCCAAAAGTTTAAGAATGTGCATTTTCATCAGCAGACCATAGGCAACAGCCAAAGAATGAGCTTTCGTGGTTTCTGTAGTGTAGTGGTTATCACGTTTGCCTCATACGCAAAAGGTCCCTGTTTCTGAGAACGGGCGGGAACAGAACGTTGCAAATTTAATTTTGCTTAAATAACTGACCGGTTGGTCATCAGTATAGGATCAGATCCTATAATGAACAGCCCAAAGTCAGAAGCATGTCCTTGAACTGACCAGGAATTCCTGCTTTTTAGCAGCAAAGCAGATCAAATTTGCTTATGCACGAAATGAAAGGGAATCTCTGGTTTTCCACAGAACGTGGAAGCCTCAGTATTTCTTTGTTGTTGCTCAATGTAAGACTCTGAACTTGACTGGAAATTTTTCTGTAAATGTAATTGTCACCAAGTTCACCTATCAGCAGAGAGGTATCCTGACGAAAAAGGCTGGGAGCGGTTTCCCTTCCATTATGGTGCTTTTTGTGCTTAAGAATAAAGCTGCTTGCAAAATAACAGGGAGTCTCTGCTTTTCCACTGACATGCTTTGCTACAAAAACAGATTCGTCGGTTAGATGTACATTCTCTCGCTCGAGCCTTTTGTGGTTTCTGTGTGTAGTGGTTTCCGTTTGCTACCTATCCCTTTCAAACGCACGCGTCAATTTTCTTTATAACTCTTGCTCCTCCCTCTATACCCCCTTCCTATGCTTTTGTAGCCTCTTTGTTTACTTTCTGGTTTTCACTCCTCTCTTTTATTTGCTGTCTCTCTTCTTTTTTTGGGTTCCCTTCCTTTCTCCTTCCTGCTTTTTTTGTCTTTGTCAGCAGATAACAGCTGCTTCAAAATAACGGGAGTCTCTGCTTTTCACTGACTGTGGAAGCGACTCTTTCCTTGATCAAGAAGACAAAGGTGAAGATGCGTTTGACTCGAGGTTGCAACGTAAGTAATTCCCCCACCTCAAGCAGGAACATATACCCCAACACGCACCTCGACTTGAAATTGCCATTCAGTCAACAATGGGAAGTCTTCTCATCTACCAGTGCCTTCCCTGTTCATCAAAGTGACGTCCAACATGACCGGTTAGAACTCAAGTGGCCCCTACCTTAGTGCTGATTTGTCCTTTTGATCACGGGTTTCAGTCTTATCCAGAATGAGCCAGTGTGGCTGAAGGTTTTATACAAACAAGCGGTAGCCACTTTATCTATCTGTAAAGCAAAGATCAAAACAATCAACAATTGGAATCAGTGTGGCTCCTGCAAGATTGGAACAAAAACCTGAAGATTGGACAACCCTGCTTAAAGACCAATCAGCATATAGGCATACCCCAGTTTGGTTGTTAAATATAAAACATTACCTATGTAGAAAGCTGATAGCGGAAAAATGTGTACACCTCTGCGTCACAGTTTGCATGCTAGCTTGTGCATTAACAGAAGACAGACCCGATTTTCTCCCATTTTTTCCCTTGTTCACAGGTGAAACGTGCCCTGATGGATAATGATGTAAGCCCAAACAGCAAAGAATCAGTAATTACAACTGGTGTTTTTGTTAGTTTTGGTGAGGCTGCATTGGAAGCCTCATACACACTGTATTGCCAACCAATTCTCAAGTAGGTCCTTCCTTCCTTTTTTTTGTTCCAAGTACCATAGCACTATAGCTTCAATTTCACACTGTGCATTGGCCGGAATCTCCGAACTCCAGGTCAACTTGAAGGCAGCCATGCTCTCACCACTATACCACCAATGCTCACCACTATCACACCAATGCCATGATGGGAACCATTCTGGGTGAACCTTTTCAAAGTTTAAGAACGTTCACTTTTTATCAGCAGACCATAAAGGCAACAGCCAAAGAAATGAGCTTTTGTGGTTTCTGTAGTGTAGTGTTTATCACGCTTTGCCTCACACGCAAAGGTCCCTGGTTCAAACCTGGTAGAAACAAGCTGCAAATTTAGAATTTTTGTTTTATTAATTGATCGTTGTCACTACTATAGATCAGATCCTCATGAACATTCGAAAGAGACTTGAACTGATTCAGAATTTGCTTTGTAGCAAAGCAGATCAAATTTGCTTACAAATGAAATTGGAATTCTGGTTTTCCACAGAACGTGTGGAAGCCTGTCTCTTTTATGTTCAGTAAGACCTCTGACCTTGACTGAAATTTTTCACAAAGTACTGGTCACCAAGTTCACCTATGAGCAAGAGGTCCGACCAAAAGGCTGGAGTGTTTTCCTTCCATTGTGCTTTT